ACTAGAAGTAAGGCCAGGAGCCCCTGGTAGCTTCTTGTTACTCGTAGTAAGGCCAGGAGCCCCTAGTAGCTTCTTGTTACTAGTAGGGCCAGGAGCCCCTAATAGCTTCTTGTTACTAGTAGTAAGGCCAGGAGCCCCTAGTAGCGTCCTTTGCTCCTAGTAGCGATGCCAGGAGCCCAACAATGCTCCTACCGCGGCGTGAAAAGACCAATTTAAGACACCGCCGCTGCTAGCGTTCGTGAGTCACGGCCCACACTGCGAAGGTTCTCTTCCACACCCCACGTACGCGCGCCCTGGTTAGCATTGGATAGGACGCATTTTCCCATAGCCTTCAGCAAGCCTTGAGCTTAGCTCCACGATTCGCATGGCCTTCATGAGTTGTGGAGACCGCATGGCTGAAATAAGCACTCAACGTCCACCTGCACAGGACCGTGGCTCCGCCTCACATCAGTTTTGGGTGGCACGATCCCACCGCTTCTGGCGCCACTGCCCAGTTTTAACTTGGGGCGGTCCGAAGGACCTCCAGCGGCCCGAGGGATTTGTGCACCCCGCATGGTTCCAAAAGACACAACTTGGGAGCTTGGCGCGCATTGAACTGGTGCTTCCACGCACGACAAGCGATCCATGAAGCGTTGCCCGCAGAGATCAGACAAGGAGCAATCGCAGAGCGGCTCGTGAACGATGGTAAGCGCGGGCCCAGGTCGGAAAACTGTCTTTTTCCTCATCAAACACGTCGAGCATGGCAAAAAGCATCCGCATCTTGCGCTGCTCTCGATCTTTATCTTTGAACGGGCTCTCTAGAGAGGATTGCGCTTAAAATCAAGCAAAAATATAGAGACCTTGACCGACTTTTGCAAGGACAACAATGTCCTTCATTGCTTCATGGATGTACAGTGTCTTTAGTGTTCGGTTCACAATATGTTTATTCTCAAACACAGTGGCTCTCTTAGAGGGTCTGACTCTCAGTTCTGAAAATCCCAACTTGTACCCTCCGCGTCTTGCACACCCGCAGGTGCCCCCACACACCAACAGGCATGCCCCAGTAGGAGCTTGAAAATGCAAATGCTCTTCGTTGAGGACTAGAAAAGCTTCAAAAAACTAGTACCTTCTTCTTAAAGACATATGAAGCACAAAATTTTTTGGAGTCAAATTCTCCAAGCTTGTCTTGTCTGGTTTCTCTGGTTGGTTGTCCCGCTCTTGTAGCTGCTTGATGCCTTTTCCGTCTCTTGGTTTGTCTGTTCCAGCTCGGGTTTATCATCCTTCGCTTCGATTTCACCAGGTACCCCAAGAAGCCTACTAAGCCTCGGGCTTGGCTCGCACACTGGCATCGTCCAGTCTAAAGGTGTAAATGGATCCACATTCTTCTCCTCAGAATCGAGAATGAATTGAATGAAAGAATTCAAAGCACATATTGACTTTGATACATAGCATTTGTTTAACATGTTTTCCTTAGCTTCGTACCTTGCAGGTGGCCAAGGTTGGCGTACCTGCCTGGCGGTTCGCATCTCCTCTTGAAATCGGATTTTCAGATATTCATTTAGTGATTTTCTCTCCAAACTCGACTGGAAGCACCCATTGAGGTGAATTGCAGCCCATCTTGCAACTCTTCCCGCCCATCACCTCGACTCCAGAGAGGGACACGGAACCTAAAAGAATAAAACTTCTCGTTTGCCCGCTCCCTACTTAATCAAGTAAGGGCGAAGCATGCTACAAGGCTAACTTAGCATCTAGACATGGACGCAGGATAGCTCACCCTTCGTAGAAAAAGCGTTCGCGCGAATCATTTGGTTTCTAAGTTTTTAGGGAAACTTAAGTTATCTAGGCCATTGCTATTAGGATGGAGGCTTGGCGAAGTGGACGGAAGAGTTGAAAACCGGATCCCAGGCCATGTAGCAAGTCGACAAATTCAGCATGCAAAGATCAACCTAAGAAGCGCTCCAACTGTTCAACCAAGAAAAAAGCATGAAAATATTGCTCGCAAAAGGGGTTGTCAAGTTTAAAGTTCTAAGCAGTCAGACATCAAAGGGAGCCATGCAATGCACCTACAGCACAAGAGGCCGCAATCTCTGGCTGAATTGAGACTTTGCAATTTCTGACCAAATGTCAATATTGTCCGCGAAAGTATTCAAGTAGAAATGTCACGCCATCGAGGAGTTTGCACATAGGCCTCATAGGCCAAATTGGCTTTCACTCCCACTTCATTCTCACCCATTACATTCTTCGTCAGCTCACAGGCACAAGCGGTGCAGAAGGACACTCTGTGCCAAGCGGAGACTTTTTCCAGCAGCCAAGGAAAAGATCTTGCTCCATCCAGGACAAAGCTTTTTGCGTCCGGCGGAAGGGCATGCAAGAATTGAATCAGCGTGATTCATCTGCCACGCCTCCAAGTGACCTCGGAGTTTTCGCTCACCAACAGGAGCCATGAGGCTCCTCCCGCTATCAAAGTTGCAAGGTCAAACGCCATCTGGCAGCCTGTCAAGTGTTCCAGGATCGAGCTGTGGAAGTCGATCAGCAGGCAATTTTTTCTGACTCTAGAGGCGTTTCGATCCCATCCTCCTCCTCCAAAACTGCAGGCAGCGAGATCCTCTTCGAAGGACCAATGAGGTCCGCCATCCCCGAAGAGTTGCCACCATCCAGGACCTCGTCGGGAAGAAAGTCCATAGGCACTGCACACATCAAACCATCTTTTCTCTTCAACGGGAAAACGAATGCTTCCTTTGGCCCAGAGCTGTAGCCCCATTCGGTAAAGTCCAACCTCACCACATGGAGCAAGTGGATGCCCTGATCCAAAGTTTTGACATCTTTCATAGCCATGGCCGTCATTGTCTCCTTGACTCAGGGAAAGAAAACCCTGGTGCCAAACAATAGACTCGAAGGAATGAGAGATAGATCCTTCCTCGAACTGGGGGAGCAGCAGGCCTTTCCCCAATGAAGTACTCCGCAGCAGGCCTTTCCCCAATGCCCGCCATCCCAAGCCTTGACCTCTTCTTGTGTTCCTGCCAGCCTGCCACAAACGTCCAAGCAATGAGCAGGTAGAGGAGGAATAGAGCGAGCCACCAAGTCGTAGGAAGATCCCACCCTGGTAGATGCCCTTGGCGAGGAAGAGGGTGGAGCAGATGAGCTCCCCAGACCCAGCTCAGCAGGATCTTCCAGATCCCAATCTCTGATGTCACTGAAGGAAACCAGAGGCGCAGCAGCAGCCCGATCACCAGCAGATTCCAAAGAGTCCGCCAAAAGGCGCAAGGTGCCAGCGGCAGCTTTGACAGCGTTAACCAGCAGAGCGACGGCGTCGCTCATGTAGATACGCCGACAGGCGTAGAGATGAGGCCGAAGAAGGAGCGCGAGGTGAGGGCTCCTCAGAGGGGGAGACCAAAGGAATGGCCTGAGGGTGGACGAAGAGGTTTCTGAAGGAAAAATGCTAGCCAGGTAAACAAAGCTCGAGGCACAGTGAGCAGGACAGGAGATCCCCACCAACCTGAAATGGACCCCCACTGAACGAACCGAAGCGCTTCAATGAGCGCCTGGTGCATGGAGCTTGAGACGAAGAGTTCACAGTCAAGATTGTTCGTTCATATAATATGTATATATATATATATGTTTCTTTTTCGTTTTCGTCTCACTTTCAAGATGGTTCCACCTCTTTGGTGCACCCCGACCAGGATGGCCGTGCCACGCAGTCGTCATGCAAGGCTGGCGAAAGGAAACTGAGAGCGTGAAAACGTGTTTGGAACGCTTTCAAAATTTTCAAAAATTGGAAGCGGTTACCAAAAACGGAATGAAAGACCCGCCAGAGCGTCTGCAAAGGTACTCGGCTTTGCCGATGTAACCAGGAGCACCTCAAGAACTGCGGACTGAGATTTGACACAGCTTTCGAAAGCTGTTGTTTTCGAAGTTGTCAGCTCTAGACATTGCCACATTCCATTTTTCTCCTCATATCCATCTGGCGGACCCTCAGAAACGGAACAAATGGACAAAAACTAGATTCAAGCTGTATATTCAAGCTGTATTGCGCTTCAACATACAAGAACAGACGCCAAAAACAAAGCCATCGAAGAGCGGACGCCAAAAAGATTCGGGCCTCAAAAGAAGTGATGTAAGACACTCAAAAAAGGGACTTTGGGCGTTTCAAAGTGTCAGAATCGAAATGGTTGCAAAGTTTTCTGCAAGAAGAAAAAGGAACAGAATGTTTCCTTTTCCTTGCTTCTTTGTTTCTAATAGCGCGGCCTCCAACCTACTAGCGATGACCTCCACAAAGAGAAAACGAAAACCCTCTGAGGCACTGCATTTCATCTTGCACTTCGGAGTTTTGCGATCCCAGGCAAGGCCTCCACCAGACCTCGACGTTCTCAGCTCTTTGCATTCTAAAAAACATACTATTGTGGATGCTACTAAGAGCAAAGGGCATCGCTACTAGGAGCAAGGACGCTACTAGGGGCTCCTGGCCTTACTACTAGGAGCAAGGGCGCTACTAGGACCTTTCCCTGGTTCCGAAATCCCCGACACCTTACTAAAAATATCCACACACTTTGACATTGGGCTTTCAGTTAACTCAATTCCCCGAGAAAAGGAATGGCTCAACGGCAAGGTGAAGCGTCCGATCACTTGAAGGTGATTGAAATAATGTTTCTCGTCACGCATGACTGCAGAAATTTAGTTACTGATTACTTAGCAGACCGAATTAACGCCGTGCATGGAAACCTGGTTTGGGGGACATATCATGAAAACCACCATGAAAGCAAAAAAGACAGTAGAACAGCTTGGACAACAGTTGATCGCAGGCACGTCTGCACCCAGGTGGGGGGTGTCTTCGTTGGCCGGAGACCCCCCACCTGGCTCCCCCCCTGCGTGTAAAAACTCTTGGAAACAGAGTGTGACACACACACTCAGCCGCTTTGCGGCGCTCTGGCGCAAAAACCTAAATAGGCACCTAAAAAGCCTTAGAAAAGAAAGAAAGAAAAACAGAAAGAGCGGCGCTAAAAGGGCAGGAGAGAAAGATAGGTGTAGCAAAAGGTGAATACTAGCCCTTGACTGGGGCAGGGAAACGAGCCTCAAGAACCACCCAAAAAGCCTGAAAGAAAGCCCAAGAGACGACGCAAAACGCAAGAAGGAAAGCGGGGGGCAGGGAGGGGGTGTATGTCCATGTGTGTGTGCATGTGAGTGTCTGAGTACTTAGCACTCTAGAGTTACCGATTACTTAGTAGAAACTAATTAGGTGCAATAGTTAGGGAGCGGGACTTTAGTCTTAAAGTAGACTAGAACAGGGACAACAGAGGGAAAGGCACCGACACACAAGTGTGTCGAGTACCATTTCCCTCTGTTACCCTAATTAGGTGGGGAGTAGAGAACTCGGCGGGGGGGGGGGGTTGTGTGGGGTCATTCTCCGTATGCCCGGCGGCTTTGACTTTCCGTGTACCCGGCGGTCGTAAAAACCGTGGTGCCCGGCGGCTTGGATTTTGGGAATACAGTGGTGAAACGAAGTCGGTTAAGATAATCCAACGTGCGCGGAAAGCAGCAAAATCCCTTAGCGATACTCCGGCATGAAAACAGCGCCCCAGTGACGGGGATCACACCCTGCACCCAAGTGGGACGGCAGAACGGCACACACTTTGACATTGGGTTTTCAGTTAACTCAATTCCCCGAGAAAAGGAATGGCTCAACGGCAAGGTGAAGCGTCCGATCACTTGAAGGTGATTGAAATAATGTTTCTCGTCACGCATGACTGCAGAAATTTAGTTACTGATTACTTAGCAGACCGAATTAACGCCGTGCATGGAAACCTGGTTTGGGGGACATATCATGAAAACCACCATGAAAGCAAAAAAGACAGTAGAACAGCTTGGACAACAGTTGATCGCAGGCACGTCTGCACCCCGGTGGGGGGTGTCTTCGTTGGCCGGAGACCCCCCACCTGGCTCCGGCCCCCTGCGTGTAAAAACTCTTGGAAACAGAGTGTGACACACACACACACACTCTCGAGATATTGCGTACTGACGCGACTTGCGATTTGCCACATGCCAGCCTAAGTGTACACCTAGGGTGAGTATTAGTAAAGACGTTCTGACCATGAGGCCTCCGCGAAAGCCTCCAAGACTCCACTCGAAAGGCGGACGACTGCGACAGGATGACGATGAGCGCTCACATCTGCAGAGTTCATTAGCACTTTACATGAGAGTAGTCACAGTTTAGTTAACAGTTCAAAAGAAGTCCTGGAGTTGATCAGACTCCATATCAGTCGTGGCATAGCCCTCTTCGTTGGGCAGCCAGCTATGCTCACGAGGTTACTCCCCTGCAAGAAGAATCTAGAGATTCTCTGTGACTCCAAGGGTTACACATATATATATATATATGTCTTGTTGTTCCAATTTGTATTTTGTTTCATTTTTACTTCATGCTTGCTTCTGATCCAAGTTTTCGCTTCTTCCATGTCGGCTTTATCATCCGAGGAGCTCTTCCGAATTGTTGCACATCACATGCACAGGTTCACCCTCCTCAGTGCAATCATATCTAGCAAGCTCATATGAAGTGTCTTTAATCAAAGTGAAGAAAGCATAAAAATAAGACGATAAGGGCAGCAACAATGTTTGAAACTTGTTTTAAAGGACTTCCTAAACAAGTCCTTATCTATTCTTTCCCTACTGTTCTCCCCTTGCTCTCTTGAATAGAAACTTGAATACAAGCTTTTTCTCCTATCTTCTCTTTCTCCTACTAGTAAGGCACTTGTTACTACTAGCGATGCACTTGTTACTACTAGTTCTCCTATCTTCTCTTTCTCTTTTTGGGCTGTCTCGCAGCGCACAGCGCCGAGGCACGAAGTATGGCTCACGGCACCGAATCCAGCATCGCTCGCCCGGCTTCAACCTGTCCCCAGGCTGCCCAGGCTCTTTGTTCGTTGTTTGAAAAAGCCCCAAACGTAGTTTCTTGCTCCTACTAGTAAGGCACCTGTTACTACTAGCGTGGCACTTGTTTCTAATAGCGAACATTGTTACTAGCGTCTAGGATAGGCCGTTTGAGGGCGACGAGTTCGCTTCGAACCGTTCGATCCTTCACCGGTTAAGGTCCCGGCACAGAGCAGTTCGACACGTCGAGGCGGCAAACTGAAGAGAAACACGAGGCGGAAAGAAACACAAAATAACAAGAAGCTATTTGAATTATATTTAGTTTAAGTTAAATTAATAGCTTGTTACTACTAGTAAGGCACTTGTTACTACTAGCGTGGCACTTGTTACTAAGTGCTTTCTTTTCTTCGAGACTTCGAAGAGAAACACGTTGAAAGCACTTCAAACAGAGTCGGTTCGGCTCTCTTCATGAGAAGCTTGTCTGGCCCATGGTAAGACCTCAAATAAAGCGATACAAATCCGTTGAGAAGTCCTGGGAGCTTCCGCGTCGGACGCTGCACCGGGTGCATTCACGAGGCCTCATGAAAAAGCTGAAACAGCCAATGCTTTGCCGTGCAAAAGCTAATCTGGAAGCCTCTTGTTCCTAGTAGTGATGCCCTTTGCTACTAGTAGCTTCTTGTTACTAGTAGTAAGGCCAGGAGCTACTAGTAACAAGAGGACGCTACTAGTATGTCTTTGAAGCTACTAGTCACAAGAAGCTTCCTTGGCAGGAATCGTTTCACTTTCCCGTTTTTCAGACTTCCGTCTCAGCTGGGAGGGCAGCTGCTTGTCACTCTCCGATCGGACAACGCCCACAGGCAAGTAATTAGGGCACCTGACTGGCCGAAAATTCACAAAAAAAATGAAGAAATCAAATAGAAAGGAAAAGACATGCACAGAGAAAATGCTATATAGCAGTCTTAAGTAAACCGGTCTGCAGTGTGCAAGATGATTCAGGTTGAACCGGAGGGAGCTCCCAGTGATCCCAAGGAGTGGCGCTACACCCTACCAGACCGGTCCCATGTTGCGGAACAAACGGAGTTAAGCCAAAACAAACAAGGGGCTCCTGGCCTTACTAGAAGCAAGGTTCGCTACTAGGAACAAGTGCATCGCTTCTAGTAACAAGTGCCTTACTACTAGGAGCAAGGACGCTACGTTCGGGGCTCCTGGCCTTACTAGGAACAAGAAGCTAGTAGGAACAAAGGCTTCTAGGCGCAGCATGATGTTTCAGAGGATGAGCCGGAGACAAGGCCAGCCTTTCAAACTGAAGGGCATGAGAACGTTGTTTTTGACGAAATGGAAGCATGTTTGACTGAGCATGGTTATCATGATGCGACTTCAACAGGGTCTTCAACAGAGAGGTGTACGATGAGGAGGACATCGCTGAGGTGTTAGCAGGGTTTTAATTTACTTTAACTTTAATTCCAATAGCTTTTTGTTACTACTAGTAAGGCACCTGTTACTACTAGCGTGGCACCTGTTACTAGTAGTAACATAAATTTTGAAGCAGAAGGCAGGAGAGTTTAAGCCAACTTCTGTGAAGAAGCAAACAATAACATCCAGAAGAGGTGACACTGAGGAGTGTTACTTGGAGATTATCAGGAGCGGAAGATGACCACAGCCGGACAGTTGACCAGTCCGCAGAAATTGTTTCGCTGTTGGAGGGTTGATGCCTCGTGATGCCTCGTGAGAGGTTGCCAAAGTGTCAACAGGCTGAAGAGCCTTGATACCAAATCATGTTACTCAATCTTATTCATTATTGCAAATGCAAAGCGGAGATGCCCAAAATTGCACGCAAATGCATCCAAATGGTATGCCACCCTTCTACACTCGCCACAAACAATGAGGAACATCCCATTCTTGCACCCATGTGCTGGATGGGATGCATCTACTCCTCGGCCTGATTGGTCCAGTGCGGTGCGTTTCCTGTGAGGCCTCTAAACAAAGCCCGGCGACGATGACGATGGCGATGAGGGTTGTATGCAATCATGATGGTGGCGAAAACCGTGGTGACAAGCATGGTGATATGATGAAGGTAATGATGACGGTAATGATGTGCCAACTTCCGCCAAAATAGAGGGGATATCAGTACGCCGCTGATACGCTGGCAGATTGATACCCATAGCGGCACACAATAAAGCGGACGCTTCCTGTGTGTCGCTTGGGCTGGTGCCGGACCGAAATCGAATTGGCAATTCGAGTGACACGGTCGGTTTACCTTTTTCCTTCTTAAAACAGCCTCTTTAGCACTTTTAAGGGGCAGCACTTTAGCACGCAAAGTTGCACCACTTCTTCAAGGAAGCTCCCCCCTAAAGGCGGCGAGGGGGGAGCTTCCTTGAACAAACGTGAGCTATCCTGCGTCCTGTCGGTAGCTTACTTGTAGGTACTAGGTATCTCTCCGTCCTACCTCACCTCTAGCAGCGGCCTACCCACCCCCCGACTAAAAACCTTAAAAGCGTCCTTGTTACTAGTAGTAAGGCACATGTTACTACTAGCGTGGCACTTGTTTCTACGTTCGCTTCTTGTTAAACTAAAAAAGTCACAAAACGAGTCACTGCATTCTTTCTGCGGTGTCGTCTTGCTCATAGAAGCCCTGCAAATGGCGCTCGGGGCGCTCGGCTGCCCTAGGCAGAAAGCGATTTGTGATCTGAAACTTGAAAAACTTGTGGGAAGCTGAAAGTGATGGGTTTTTTCCACATCCTTCGGTCCAAAGTAGGCTGCTTTTTCCAAGTTGGTTTTGAAAAAACTGAGATCCGAACCATGCCAAGCTGCAAACCTCACTCAAAGCACAACCAAAGACAGGTCGTCCTCCTTTCTCAAAAAATGAAAACAATTGACCGGTACCTCAGAACACAGCGTCTCTCATAAACATGTCTTAAACATCTTATTGATTGTTACTACTAGCTTCTTGTTACTACTAGTAAGGCACTTGTTCCTAGTAGCGATGCACTTGTTACTAGTGCCTTCTTACTTCAAAACGGTTTTGACATGATTCGGTCCAAGCCGCCAGGAGAAAGGTTCGCATGGTCCTGGGAAGAAAAAGTGGTTCGGCTGAAGGCCGCTCGTTTTGCTCGTTTCGGCATTCTTGTGGCGTTTGGTGCTCTTTCTGCCAAGGTACGAGAGGCCATGTTGCAAACGTACTGCGTAAAAATGTGGCTCTTGTCAAGCAAAAGCTTTGTCAAGCTGTGGTTGAAAAGACTTCACAACGGAATTTTGGCTCAGGCTACCTAAAGCAAAACGATATTTCACGTAAAACTACTTGTAACACTAGGAACCAAATCATTTCGCGGAGCCATCCTCGAGATGCTGCACCAAATGAGTCGCTTGGGTACTTCTCTTTTGTGTCTTTTGTTCAAATTGAACCTGGTATTCCATTTGGTATGTCCCAAAGATTAAAACAATTCCACTGCTTGTACGTATTCCATTTGTGTTTCTCATGTGCTTTGAACTTGGACAACAAAAAGCAAGCACGTATCAACAACTTCGGTGCTTGGCACGTATTGAAGATCGTTATTGGCAAAGTTCTTATCGAACCTTTTTCAAGAACTCTTCAATGGGCGTCTGCCCACCTCCAAAGCCATGCCTGCAGGGAATTCCATGTTTGCAAGCTACCTAGCGCTAGCGGCTAGGTCCTAGCTGCGTCCGGACACCACGAATGTCCATTTTCCCCAAACTACGAACCAAATTAAATCAACCAAGTACTTCAAGGAAGCTCCTGCCCTCAGGTCCCTGTCTAGTACTTTCCTTGCTGCCTCACCATTACTGCTAGCTAGCTACGCACTACTTACTTGTTGCCTCTTGTTTTGCAAGTCGTTGCAATGGAGTTATGCTCTGCATGCGACGACTTACGGTCTCGCCTTTGCAGATCCATTTGAGACACGGTCTACGTGATGTCAGGATTGTTTGAATCGGTTGAGTGGCCGCTTCATAGATTGGACCATTGGACCCCTACCTGTCCCGTTTGTCCAAAAAGTGGGGCTAGGAGCGTACACAGCGTGTACACAGTAAAAAGCGCACAGCACATCAAAAAAGGCCCAACATCACCAAGCTTTGAGATGGATCGGGTAAATGTATGTAAATGTACCGCAACGCTGAAGCTAAAGCAGTGTCTGACCATGTTTGAGGCTTCTGCCTAAAAGCGGCAAAGTCTCAGTCAAGGGGAGACAGAAATACAGAGACTCCAAGCAGGGTGTACCACATCACCAAAATTCGACAAACAAAATAGGAAATCATGTATCTAACCAAGCAAACATGCGATAAAGACTTGACAGCTTCAAACAGGGTGTTGATCATGTGCGACATCTCCAAATGCTTTCTACACATTTGGCAACACTGTCGACCGGCAAACTTATCCCGGAAGTGCCTCAAGCTTGTTCAGCTCTGCGAGAATGTTACCACTTCAAAGCAGACAGAAGTTGGGCTCACACATTTGGTAGGAGCAAGGACGCTACTAGGAGCAAAGGGCATCGCTACTAGGAGCAAGGGCGCTACTAGGGGCTCCTGGCCGTACTACTAGGAGCAAGGGCGGTGAGACCGAGTTTCCGCAGTAAAAAAGGACGGGAACCAACAGCCAAGCTATGAAGGGAGACATGTGGACAAGCAAAACGACGGGGGCTGTCGAGCGGTGTCTTTTTGCAGAAGACGTGGTCTGGACTAAGGGATAAGAAGGGCAAAAAGGATTTCTTCTCCATGAACGCTTCACTTGCACTTGTGGCCCAGTTCGTTCCGCGCCTATTCCGCGAGACCTGTTCACTCTTTCTCAAGGATGAGGACGAGAGCACTGTCAGGATGGCTTCTAAGCCTTGGCATCTAGGTTTGCCAAGTCTGCAGAGTCTACAGGATACAATACATTGCAATGGCCTCCACCCTAGAATCCAACCTACTAGCGATGGCCTCCTAGAAGCGATGGGCTCCACCCTAGAAGCGAGTGGTATCGCACTCCGCGGCGCTTTTTCGCTGTCTTCGCGCCTTCACACAAGGCTTGGCCAGGTTTGTTTGCAGCTAAATGCAATCGCATCCTCACAACAGAAAATCGATCGTGTGAGATTTTAGGAACGCAGATTGACACAAACCCCAAACAGTTACTAGTAGCAAGAAGCTATTAGGAACAAGGGCATCGCTGCTAGTAGCAAGGGCATTTTCACTAGTAGCAAGAAGTTACTACATACGCCAATCAGAGCTGACGCACCTCTCTTGTTGGATCTGTTGCAACTTCTCCGTTGGCAACAATCGAGCGAGGCCATAGCCCACACGCATCTCCAAGCACCGTTGCTGGACCAAAAGCATCACCAGCCTCACTCGAAATGTTTTTTCCTCTCGTTTTGGGGGGTTACAGTAGGCTCTAAAAGGTAGCCGGACGCAGGAGAGTTCACTGACGCTTCACCCTTCCCACACCTTCCGACGGACAGGCAGTCATCTCGGCTCGACGATGGGGCGTGAAGTCGGGTTTCGCCAGACCGCTTGAGCAAGGACGCTAGGGGCGGCATCGCTGGGAGCATTCTTCTTACTAGGAACAAGAAGATCCTTGGCCTTGCTACTAGGAGCAAGGACGCTTTCAGGTGCGGGGTGCAACATGACGTCACGCTTTCTGCCCCCTTCCACACGCGTATCCTTTCTTCCCGTGGCTTTCCGGTTTTCGAAGCGCCACACCGATGGAGCGGACCCCGCGAAGCAAAGTCGAAGCAAGCTTGTCCACACCACAGCAAAAGCAATGCCCACGAAGCAAACAAAAACGTGCAAAACGTGGTTTTTTTCGAACAAATTCGCTGTCCTAGTCAAGCCACAGTCCCGTGTGGAGTCGTGGATGGCCAACACCCCAGAAATTCATCAATGCTGCAGCGAAGCCGCTGACTGAGGAGACCTCTGGGTGCAAGCCCGCTAATACCACCACCGAAGCCTAGGTGCAAGGCGCAAAAACTGCAAAGGTAAAAACATAAGAAAGACTTTTGTGTCTTCAAGGCACTGCAAGTGTTGCACTTGGCATTTTCCAGACAAAAGGAACAACAACAGACACGACGACATCAATGCATTCGAAAGAGGTACAGCTATCGCAAGTGAGATGTTTGTTCGCCACAACATAGGCCACAATGGTGATTGGACGGAATTTGAAGAAACTGGCACGGCGTTGTTTTTTTTGAGTACTTTCCCAACAGAATTACTTTGCAACCGGACCTTGTCTCAGGTTCAAGGGGTGAAGTGACGTGAAGAATAGGAAAGGAGGGTGAGATAGAAACAAAAGTTACTCTTGTTTCTAATAGTTTCTTGTTACTACTAGTAAGGCCCTTGCTCCTAGTAGTGATGCACTTGTTCCTAGTAGTTCCTGAAAAAGAAGAATGCAGAAGCATTTGGAGACCTGAGCGCTCCATTCCTCGAAATACATTCGCGATCCGTGTAGTGCCCTGATTTTGAGATGTTGATGTTTGGGCGTGTTCTTCACATTTTTCGTTCCATCTTCGGTTCTGTTCGCTGTTCGTCCTCAAACCGTTCGCGGGGTGTTCTTTGCGTTACGGTACGAGACCCGTGTTGCCTACGGCATTCGCACCTCGGAAAGGTGTGAGATTGCAAATTCGCGCAGCAAATCCCAACACGCAACTGACGCGTCGCACATGCGCAGTTCATAACGGTGAAGTCTGAAAATGACCTTGATTGGGGATTCGGACAGTTTGAATTATTTATTTATGATTATACAAGCATGGACCCCAAAGCAGCTTCAAAACGGTTCGTTTAGACCAATATTAGTCAAAAATCGATTTCTTGGCACGCCCTACCTTCACCCCAAGAGCAAATTGCTTCATCAATGAATTTTTGTCGGCATTGACATCGCTATGTGTTCGGCCACACTCCTCTCCAGTAAGCCGGGCCACAAAGACCAGCACAGAGTTCAGGCGCGCGGCCAAGACAAGGAAAGAGGAGGACAAGAAGAGGACAAGAAGGCCCAGCCACAAAGCCCAGCCACAGAGGACAAGAGGAGGACAAGGCCTGAACACAGAGCCCAGCCACAGAGTTCAGGGGCGCGGCCAGTGAGTGTGGCCAGCTCTTTCTTTCTAAGAGAGAACCCCAACAGTAAACTGTTTGGGGAAAACCCCTTTTATACACAAGTCGATTGCTCCTAATGTGTCCTTAGTTTTTGCGTTTGCTTAATTCCCGGCTGCCCCAGAAACAGTGAAGAATAATTATATTTTAGATGCTTTCGGTCCAAGAAGTAAGATTCTCTATGATTTCTGTGCGATCTTATTGCTTCCTTTAAACAACTATATGTTTAAAATCAGAAGTTCCCTAAGCACAGGAAGCAAGATTCCCTACTTTTTACTCTGAAAACAATATAACATATTCTAAAATTAAAACTCTCTAAGTACTGGACAGTGTACCTCCGTGTGCGTTTTTTCTCCTTTTCGGACGGCCTCGACGTTGGTGTTGGCAAGTGCCTCGCAGAGCTCTTCCAGGCGTCGCTGCTCGGAGGCCTCGAGGAAGCGCCCAGAGTCCGAGACCCACGACGGAGGCTCCGACACCAACCTGTGCGAAGAGAAAAAGAAAAAGAAAAAATAGAAAATATTCTATGTTGCGAACCATTTTCCATAGGAACCATTGTACAGAAGTAGAACATCACTAGCATCGTAGAAAGAACATTCTATAAGTACATGTTGTATATGTTACTTGTGCGCAGCCCTTTTGCACTTCAAGGAAAAGAGCGTATGGTAGCGAAGCGGAGAAGGAGGTAACCCTTTGGAGCTCTCCATAGAACCCAAACAGCTGGACTGGTGAGACACTCTGTACCCAGCACACTGTGTCAAAGAGACATTAGTACAAGGAGAAGATGGAGGAGATCAGAGAGATCCTTCAAACTATAAGCACAGAGTACGCAAGCAACAACATCAGCAGCTGAGGCAGTGAAGAAACCTGTTGTTGCTGTTGCCAAACGATAGCTTTGATTGGGACTTGGCAACAGCAGAGGAGAAGACCAGGTGCATCAAGCTATATGGGTTGTTAGCTTCATTGATGAGAGGAAGAGCACTACAGTTGGTGAAAGCTGTGGACGACTCCTTGATGCCTGGAGGAGTTTGAATAAAGATTTTCAAACCAACTTCAAAGGCAAGAGGGTTAGCACTTTTGGGAGCAGCCACTACATGGCCAGCATTTTCAATGAACAGTGCGTTACAACCTCAACTCTTGAAGCGTGAAGAAGCATTTGATGAGACTGTCAAGGCAGGGACTACAAATCAGGAAGAGTTGGAATCTGCTATTCTTTTGAGACAACTCAAGTCCTACTTGAACTTGACAATTTGTGATAATGTTCAATACTCAACTTTGAGGGATCATCTGCTGCAATGGGATAGATCTCAGCAGAAGTGGGCTACTTCCATGGTGGCTAGTAGAAGTACAGACTATCAAGGGCCTATGCCAATGGGTGTTGATCGAGTCCAAGATGCCAAAGGAAAAGGTAAGAAGGGCAAGAATGACCATCAGAAAGGCAAAGGTAAAGATGCTAAGGGCAAAGGAAAGAAAGGGAAATTGGATCAGAAAGGAAAAGAAAGTGATCACAAGGGCAAAGGTAAATGCAAAGACCAGAAAGGCACAGGCGGTGTGGCAACATGTTACACTTGTGGAAAGCCAGGACATCTTGCTAAAGACTGTTGGAGGAACAATATTCGACAGGTAGCGAGTGATCCAACCCATTCATCTTCAGGAGGAGCATCAATGACAACTCATGCAGTTGGTCAACAACATGCCAATGTGAGCCATTAAGGTAGCTCAGCAGAGACCCAACCAGCGGTCAGGAGAATTGCGAACAGCGAGCCAATCATCTTTGCCTTGAGACAAGGAGATGATGAGCTGGAAGATCAAGGAGTTCGAGTAGTTCACTTCTACGTTGGAGATGATGATGATGAGCCAGAATTCCAGGACATTGGGATGTGGCCTCTTTATTGACAGTGGAGCTGATGTAGCATTATTCCCTTTGAGTATGGCGAATCATGAGGAAGGAGAACTACAATTCAGCACAAAGACCAAGCTACAAGATGCTCAAGGAAATCGTACACAGGAGGTGCGAAAGGTGTTGAAATTTCCTTGCATGACTTTGATGGACGAGAAGTTCTTCTGAAAGAGAATGTGATCTTCAGTGCCAAGGTGAACCAGCCCTTACTTTGTTATGGAAGGTTGATGGAACATGGCTGGGAAATCAACAGCAGAGAGAGCAAATGTTGGAGAATGGTGACTTGAAGGTACCACTCAACCTAAAAAATCGCTCTTTGACAGTTCAAGGCCGCATTAGAGTCAGCAGGAATGAAAATGAAAGCTGTTTCGAGGCGCAAGTACCTTAAGCTTTGGGGAAAGGAGCAGGTTGGAGATTCAATGAGCATGGCCTGCTAGTTGGGAGCTCACTGACTTCAAGATTTGTGGATCCCACAGTCATTCCAGAAGTAGTGGAAGAATCACCAGAGTTGATGAGAACCTGAATATTGCAAAAGCATGATGAAAAAGGATGAACTTTATGAATAATTCTTTGGTGATGATGCAGTCATTCCTTCAATCACAATCTTCAGCTATGAGCCAGCGCCACCAGAAGATATGGAATTCTTTGCGCCAGGATACAAGAAGCTTGAGAATAGACCAGAGAAAGAAAGAAGTGCAGCAGGCACTAGAAGAAACTGCCCCAACTCCCCAGGAGAAGGGAGTAGGATATCAGAAGGAAAGTGAAAAGAAAGAAGATGACCTTGCATGTGAACTTCAATTGAGCCCAATGAATGTAGACAAAGTCTTGGTGAATGGAAAAGAGTTGACTAAGGATTCATCTATAGCAACTCTGAGGGCAGCATGTTCATTTCTCGGCATTTCAGGCAGTGGCTCTAAGGTACAGGTCTACACCAAGATCCTCAATCACAACAAGAAGATGGAGTTGTTGAATGCCAAAAGCTTGGTAAGTGAAGCGAAAGCTCAGGAGACTAGAGAAGCATTAGGACAAAGTGTACCAAAGATGCTAGATGAAGCCATTCAAGCCAAGGCACAGGCTGACCTGACACATATGCCATATGCCAATTGGTGTAAGGAGCGCATTGAGCATCGAGCGCGTCCAGATCGCCATGAGAGAACAAACGGAGTAAAGAGAGGAAGCATCCCTGAGGTAAGCTTTGACTTTTGCTATACAAGAGCAAGGGGCTCAGAGACAAAGTCAGCAAGAGCAGTATGTTGGTTAGTTGCAATTGACAGCCAGACTGGATTCATTCATGTTGTGCCATTAGGAAGCAAAGGCCAATTTCATCTCATTGTGCAAGAATTGATCCATTTCAGTAAATTGTTGGGATATTCAGCAATCACCTACGGAAATGACAATGAACCCGCAACAAGACAAACCCTCAAGACGCTGATCAACACTCGCCACAGTCTAGGACTCACTACCAGATTGGTGAACTCATAGCTTGGAGATCATTCATTTCTGTCAGGGAACACAGTCGACAGTGTGAGAAAGCTTTCAGGAACATTCATTGAAGGTGTGCAGTCAAGGCTTGGTATCAAGATTAGGTCAGGTCATGCACTCTGGACTTGGGCAGCAATATATGTCAGCCAGTCAAAGGTGCAACACCCTATGAGCTTGTCTATGGCAAGAGCTACAAAGGACTTTTTGCAGAATATGGTGAACCCCAGTTCATGGTTCCATTGAGAGCCTCAACAAAGGTGAAGCGAGATTGCATTTATGCTTGTTCTTGGGAAAAAAATTGAAAGACAAGATACCTATGTGCTTACAGATGGAGTACAGGTAGTGCTTAGCAAGTGAATCAGGAGAACAGATCAAGATTGATCTAAGTATCTACCCATATACAAAAGCTTCAGGGAGTATCAGACCAACTTTGGAGGCAGAATCATTGCCATCAAGAGGGGAGCAGAAGCATCACCAGCAGCACAAACAAATATTATTCGAGAACATGTAATGGTGAAGTTCAGAGATGAAGATGCAGAGGCAGTGATGGCCAAGGCAGTAGAAGGAGGAAGTGATTCAGAAAAAGAATAACAACTATTTCCAGAACCAAAGGAGATTCCAGCCCCGCTTGAGATTCCTGCTGAAGCAATAAGAGAGATGGAAGTGAGAGAAAGCCTAGTGGAAGAGAAACACCTAAGATGAGAAAACACTTGAGGAAGTGATGGCATTTCCCTCTACATCATTGCCAGCAGGGCAGCCAAATCAAATTACTCCTATACTACTATCTTCATTGAGATCATCATCAGCGCCATCCAGACCAAGAGAAGCATTTGAATTGCTTCAAAAGGAAAGCCCAATGAAGAAACTCGGGCCATCAGATGATTCAAGCAAGAAGGCCAAGATCAACATGGTGAAAGTTTGAGGAGATGATCTTTACCATGTAGACGAAGAGTATCCCCAGTTGCAGAGGAAGTTGGTGAAGAAGAGCGGGATGATGAGGAAGATGATGCTTCAGACTTGGAAGAAATCAATGGACCTGAATGCTTGTGGCGTGATGGAGAACATGAACCAAATGAAGGTCCAGAAGAATGGATTGACAGAGTAGCTGATGAAGTGGAGGAAAAGAGACTCCACGAGATGCAAGCGCTAGAGAAACCAGAAGGAAGCACAAAAGGAGTCAGTTACCTTACAACACGCTATGTGTATGGCTGGAGGAAGAAACCATATCAACTTGGAGATGGTATTTCAGTCACAAAAGGTGGACGAGAAGATCAAGACTAGTTGCAAGAGAATTTGCTTTGGGTGAAGGAAAGAGAAATTATATTTTTCTCACCAGCGACTTCAGAACATGTACTGAAGCTTCTACCCACAATATTCTTGCAAAAGATCAGTGAAGAAGATGAGGCAAGAGAGGGAGAAGGAGATTCTCACAGGTTCTAGGATGTCTTGATGTGAAAGGTGCATTTCTACAAGTTCCACAAGAGAAGCGATTGAAGGTAATCTTGAGAGGATAAGAGTTCCTAGTGAAGGGGAACCTGCCTGGACAAAGAGTTTGAGCAAAAGCATGGTTTGACTTCTTCACAGAGTACTTCACGCAGGAACTCAGCTACAAGTTCAGTGCTGAGTGTCCATGTCTAGGAAGAAATGAGACGAGTATCATTTGATCCATTCGGATCACTTGATTTTCACAGGAAACTCGAAGTACATCAATGAAATCTTTCTTCCACAGATCCAATGCAAATTTGACACCAGTGTGAGCAAGATTGAGAGGATTGGAGATGAGTTCAATTTTCTGAGGAGAAAGTACAAATTAGAAGTTGATGGACTATGGATCCAACCAGGCAATTACATCCAGCAGATGTTGAAAGCCTATGAAGAGCAGATTGGACCTATCAAACTCCAACAACTACCAGCAGACAAATGGAAGACAAGTCACAAGTCCTGCATGAGCCAGAAAAGATTACCCCTTTTCAGAAGCATTGTTGGATCATGTATATACCTATGTCAGGAGAGATGTGATGTAGCATTCATAGCGAAGGAATTGGCTTCAAGAATGTCAAATCCTACAGCTATGGCAGTTCATCACTTGGAGAAATTCTTGGGATACTTGAAGAAGACTATGGACTATTGTCTAGTACTTGAATTTCCACAAGCAGGAGAAAGTATATCAAGAAAGGAGAAAGCTATTGGTGCTTGGAGACATTCTCAGACTCAGACTGGAGTGGAAACAAAAGCCACAGAAAGTCAACATCAGGAGGATTCCATGCGTTGAATAGTTGTCCATTGTTCAATAGCAGCAGAACACAGAAGATTGTCAGTCTATCTTCATGCGAAGCAGACCTATATGCAATAGTTTCCTTAGCATCAAATGGAATCTATATATGGGGGGGGGGTAGGAAGCTACTAGTAACAAGTGCATCGCTTCTAGTAACAGGTGCCTTACTAGTAGTAACAAAAAGAATTTAATTAGAATTGTAATTACTAGCAAAGGAATCTACTAGGACAAAGGTGGACCATTAAGTCTTCACAGATTCATCGAGCGCGCGCCAACTTGTGACAAGAGAGGAGTTGGAAAAGGAAAACACTTAGATGGAAAGTTGCTATAGATTCTAAACAGAAAAGACTTCAAGACGGTTCAAGTGCAAACAGATGGCAACATAGCAAACCTCAACAGAAAACCACTTGGAGGACAAAGAATCAAATGCTTGATGAACCTCATTGGTTATTGGCAAAATGAAGACCAAGTGAGGGTAGGAGAATATGAGAGAAGGGAATTTGAAGAAAAGAAGAGTTTTGCAGGAAAGGTCAACAAGGTTGCAAAGATGCTTGTGAGAATGGTGGCATTGGAGGGCTTGCAGCCAATAGTTACAGAACCATTCTTCAAAGAAGGAGTCCGATTACAACTGAAAATGTTGGATCATGGTGATGTTTGCAATCAACATCATTTTCTTTGCGGCAGTAATCTTTGTGGTCCAGAAAATTGTCAGATGTCTTGAAAGGAAATTCCAAAAGGACAGTGATATGCTATGGGGTCATACAGAAAGACGTTACTATGACATTTGGGTTTACATTAATTGGAAAGCAGACAACCTAGAGTTCAGGTTCACAGAACTTGAAACTGACATCAGGAATATGGAAAGAGATGTCAGTCGAATGGAGAGTGATGAGCAGAGAATCAATACTCTACATAACTACGCCAGGAGAATTCATTGTGGATTGATTCTAAAAGGAGGCTTTGTTGAACATGAAGTATCAGATCTTCATACCATCCAATATGATGTGCTATGCTAGGAGAGTAGAACGCAGGAAACTTCTTAGCCAGAAGGAGCATGGAGGATATGCAAGCAACAGATGGAGAATATTGGGAACACAAAGTGATGTTGCAGGCAGCTACAGATGGAGCAATATCATCAGAAGGAATATTGAACAAAAGATTTAGAATGAGCAACAGAGAAATATCAACCAGGCAACAATACATTTCAGCACAGGCACATCAAATGTGTGGTCGACTTCAAGCAAAGATTGCACAACTCTATGAGAGATACTACAACCCCATGGGAAGAGGATTGCAAGAGGCAGCAGATATAGCTGAGAAAGAAATGGAGAAGTATCAAGAATTGTTGGAATGTGCAGATTATCCAGATAGATTATCCAGATAGACCACAAACAGAAACACCAAGAAACTCCAGGGACGCAGTTCCTGAGAGAAATGAGCAAAGCCTGGAAAGAGAAACAAGAAGTGAATGAGCCCTAGTACCTTCTTGTTCCTAGTAGTAAGGCCAGGAGCCCCTAGTAGCTTCTTGTTCCTAGGGCGGTGGCAAAGTGAGCCCAAAGATGCAGTTTGGTCTCACATCGCCAAGAAGGAGTGCGAACCATTTTCCATAGGAACCGTACAGAATTAGAACATCACTAGCATCGAAAGAACATTCTATGTGTACATTGTGTACATGTTACTTGTGTGCAGCCCTTTTGCATTTCAAGGAAAAGAGCGTGTATATATATATACCTTCTTTAAGGGGGGTAGGCCGTAGCTATTGAGGTAGCAATCGCTAGTAGTTACAAGGAAGCTACTACTAGCATGGACGCAGGAGAGCTCGCACTAATGATTTGGTTCCTAGATTTTTAGAGAAACTTAGTAAGTCAGAGGTAGCTAGTACCTTACTTAAGCTACTAGGATAGCTCACGCTTCTAGTCATTTGGTTCCTAGACTATTAGGGAAGCTCTTTCAGAGAGAACTAAGTCATGAAAGTTGTCTTTGTTGACTTTTTTCTCGGGCACTCTTGGGGAAGATGGCAAGAGAGCCCTATCTTGCAAGCACTTCGAAAGGAGGCAAGGAAAGCCCAAGCTCTTCAGGAAAGCTTGTACAGCCCTCAAAACAGAAGCTTGAAAGACCCCAGCTTCAGGAAATGGTTCCTTTCACTGCAAGCTAAGCAAATGAACACTTCTCTTTACATGGCACAAGTCTTTATCAAACTTGCACCTGGGATTCACCACGTCATGCACCCTCCCTGGCAGGAAGCTCCTCTCCTGGATGGACAAATAGGATAGTGCAGAGTTAGCACAGTTAGCACGGTTAACACTGGAAAAAGGTTCACGCTTCTTGTTCACTCGGCTATTCGTCTCAATCATCACCTCTGGTCCTGAAGTCTCTCTGTGGCCAGCATTCTGCGGAGTCCATAGCCAGGGCCAATAGTGCTAAACCATCTCTTGCCATGGCTGACAAAGATAGGAAGCTGAACTCTTTGCTTTCGGAGCATATTGAACCAACTGCCCAAAAGAATTGCAGTGACTTTTGTCGGAAAGACACATCAGCCTCAAATGCTTAAATCTGTTGATCATCGCTTTTCCACACCGCTCACGTTGTTCTTCATTAAATTTAGGTTTCTTGGCGTTTGGACCGTTAAGGTCTTTTTTATATCTCTTTGATATTTGTTCCTGTGCACAATGTTGTCCTGCTTCCTTTCAACCTTGTTTCCCTCTAGCCCTTTGCTCTTCTTTGTTCTTCAGACTTTGCGTTTCTGCTTTTCTCTGGACCTGATTTGTTTTGAACTGTTTTTTAGATATGTGTTGCAGCATTTCTTTTCTCTAAACACTTGTTGTTCTTTAGACATCTTATTCTTCTGTTTTACACCTTTTAGACAATCGTTTCTTCAGACCTTGGTTCTTTAAACCTCTTCTTTGGACTGCGTCTTCTTTAGGTATTTTTTCTCTTTAGACCTAGCTTTACACGTTCCTTTTAGACGAGAGTTTTTTTGTGTCCTTCATTGAAACCATTTTTCCCCGTTCACTTGTATGTTCCTTTTTCTTCTAACCTTGCTTTCTCGTTAAACTGATTTTTTTAGACCGTGTTATAATCTTTGGACTGTGTTTTCTTTCTTTCTGTCTGTGTCTTCCTTTAGACTTTAGACCGTTGTCTTGTTTGTGGACCTTCTATGTCGGTATACGTGTGATAATTGCTTTTCCACACCGCTCACCTGTCCCCTGGATTGCATCAATTGGTGTCACATCTATACACATGTGCTCCAGAGGGAGAACCTCTGAGAGACTCAACGGCCAACTGAATTAAGTATCGGAATTAGGCACCCAAATGAGCGCTTGTCGAAACGCACTCAATGCGCTGTCTCTTTGTAGATGACTCTTCAGGTCCATCAGCTCGAACTTGGATTGCCACGTCCAAAGCATGACATGCTGCGCGGCTATCGTAGACATGCCATTTCTGGCTTCCACCATCACCTGCATGTTGAAAACCTGGGGTTGCTTGTGCAAATGCTACACACGTCAAAGAATCACGCAGGCCTTCACGGTCAATGACCCAACGTTTCTTCTCCCTGCGGATTGCCATACTAGTGCCTCTTTGCTGATAAGCTGGCCAACCCTTGTGCAATCCAACTAAGAAATAATCTCCTGAAATGTCCCCATTCTCTTGCCCATGACCACGCCCACTGACTTGAAGCTTCTGTGGAGCTGAAGTTGCGCGGACGCACGGATCCAAAACAGCTCGGCTTTGTGCTGTCTCCCAAACATGCCATTCCAAAAATACATGCCCAGGGTGGAAGGTTCCACGTGCATCGGCAAAAGCACTAAAAGCATCTCCTGTCTCCATTTTCAAAGCCCATTGAAGAATACGTCCTAAAATCCCCGGCTCGGCTAAAGCCTCAAAGTCAATAAGCCACCTGCAAACGTCAAATAAAAACACCGAAACGCGCATAATTCACATTCATCGAACCACACAGCTGTTCAGTTGAGCAAGTACGTCGCCTGTCGGTTTCCGAGGCGTAGCGAATCACTGCTTTTTTGCCAGGAAGTAAATATAACGGGCGCCCTTCTCTGAGACCAGCCAAATGGTAGCTGCCACAAATCCGTGCATTGCACGCCTGCGAGAAGCAAGATATTGACGAAAAGACTCAAAGAATACAAGTTGCAAAACTGTGAAATGTTGAGAGTCAGCAGGCTAGAACATGCAATGTTCAGTGCTTTGTAAAAACGCAGCACAGTCCAACAGAGGTTTTCTCTTGGGAAGATACTGCAACTGACAAATATGGTCAACGCAAAGTTCGAAAGTACGTTTCCAAGTTGCGACTAGTTGTTCCCCTGTGGCACAAAGATTGTGGGACATGCGCAGGATGGCTTAGGTTTTCACTGCGTGGTCGCATGTGTTCAGCTAGCAGCTGGATATTGATTCCATTTCCCGCTCGAGGGTTGAGAACATTCTTCTTCAAAGTGCTTTGGCTAGTGTGGCGCCGCCACGGTGGCCCGCGTCACAGGTTACAACCCCTCCAGGGCTTCGGAGCCATCGGCTGGCACGCTGCCGTGGCATGTCTCTTTCATGGATTGGCCATAACTCTATACTGCTGGGCTGCGAACATCAGGTCATCATCAACCGCCCATATGGCTTCAGTTGAAGCCAACGGGCCCCAGCGAACGCTTGTTATCCAACAGCCGCGCGCCACTCAACCAAACCGACCAGGGCACAAAGAGCTTCTCTGCTTGAGAGGAGGTGCCTCTGATCATGTACTGACCAGACAGAGATGTAGGTGGCAACCTATATAGGGATGGCCTGGAAGGCGGAACCATTCAGCAAAGTTTGGAAGCAAATCTCACGGAGGAGCGCCCATCCGGAACTGTTCCGGGTGGGCTCTGGCGGCGCCGGACTTGATTCCTCATCGCGTTGTACTCTAAGTCACCGAAACTAGAAAAATCTACTAAATTACTCGACTTGCCGGCATTCAAAAATAGAAACCAAAAGAGAATACACATTCAGAAGTATTCGCAGCTTCGTTGTGGAAGAGGCCATGAACAATTGCTTTTCGAATGAAATTGATATAGGGTACTGCTTGACACTTACACTGATGGCTACCTCCTTGTCCAATTCTGTTTGATGTGCGTCAATCATCACACAATCCCACACTGCCCCCAAGAGGACTGCCATCACGCAAATGGGAACTATAACCTCCAAGTTTGCCCGCCCTGATGTGTCCCCCTGGCTGAACTGTTCACCCTCCTCGCACACCTCCTCTCAAGTCTCACGCCTTACTGCGCAGACATTGCACCAATGAAGAGACTCTGGGTTGTCAAATGGCTAAGCGCAGTACACCTCCCGATGGAAGCCGCAAGAGCAAAGCCCGGATTGTTCTTCTTGGCTACCAGCACCCAGACCTGTTGCAGCCACAGTTTCGAAGTTCAGCTCCACGCAGCTACCACTCATCGCCATCTGCGCTATCAGATCAGCCCTCCGCGCAGAACCGGTGGCACTTGGGACGGCTGGCCTTCGACTGGCGTTGGCCTCCCCCGTCAAAGCCCTCCGCGCTCCTGCCAAGTCGATCGCCAAGCGTTTCTCGCTTGGGGCCCGCGGAACTCCTTCTCGGTGTATATGGTCATAGAGACTTCTGCAGTCCATCACCAAATGCAGCGGGATGACCGCCCCAGCCTTCTCGATAGAGGCGCTCCCTCCGTCATCATGGTCAACAGTAGGGCACGGAAGTAGATCGCATTCTCAATGCTCTCCGCACACGCCATCGTCTCACCGGCAAGCGTGGATCAGCACACTCGGTGAGATGACCCACTCCTCCAATCGATTACGCTGAAGCGTTGTTCTCAAGGCACGAACGATCAGCCACCACCACCAACGAGCCAAGTTGCGATGCCAAAGAACGCTCCCCGTACCAAGCTCTGTCTTCAGGTTCTTCATCTCCCACATCCACGTTGCCCCCAGCCACATCGGTAGCCGAGCACGATCACATCGCCCTCCGAAATGGGATCCCTTCGCGGCGCTCTTTGCTTCCTCTGGGCTTGGCACACCTGCAACTGGAGGTCCGGACTTGAAGTCCAATGCAGTGCAAGTCTTGCACTGCATCTGTTCAGCGGCGCGGATCATTCCCTCAGAAGGACCTCCCAGTCGAAGATGTCGGACGAATTCCCGGTTAGGGGGGTGCCCCAGGTTTTGACGCGCCCGCCGAAGAGTGGCTCCAATCATGGGCTTCACCTTGCCTTTGAACGAGATGCCAGAGGCTCCGAGATCTGCCCCTTCCTCTTCCTTCTCATTCTCCACGCTGTGCGGGGAAGTTCAGGGAGAGCTGCTGGCCAGCCTTCTTCGCCTTGTCGTAGGACTGGAAGACTGCGTTGGCAAAGGCAGTCGTACAGTCTGCCTTGTAACGGTCGATGTTCTTCATGCATGCGCTCACACTTCTGGGACATGGCCTGGGCAAATGTCAGGTTGTTGGTCAGCAAAGAGGTGGCTTTTCTCAAAGGCCGTCCGTCAACGTCGCTCTTTAATTGAAAGCGACACATATCCAGGTCGGCGTAGCAAGCTGTCGAATACTGGAGCAAAGCAGTGACCCCTGAGGATTCTCGGCGATGTTGTAGTTCAAACACTCGGCGACTAAAAGTCCAGCAGCTTCTTTTCTCGATTCCTCAGCCTCCACAGTTCGAGAATTGGCACCAATAAGTGCGCGATCACGCCCTTGGCTAAACATGGAACAAACTCTGTGATGCACTTCCCGCTCAACTGACCTAACAACGACTGCTTCAATGACTTGCGCATGGTGTTCCCAAGCTCGGGATTGAAAAGAGTGGCGCGGGGGACAACATGCACGCGAATGAACTTGATCGGCCGTCTCGCCCCTGAAATCCCTGTTGTGTTTCACTGATTGCCACCAGCACCATTTCCGCTGAGAGCTTCGGGGGCAGCCAACAAATGAAATGCTTCCGGTTGAAGTTTCTTTGGAAAAAACAAAGGTTTGTAGCACCATTCCCCATGATCACCATGATCGCTCACGTACGCCACGCTCGTTGGGAATCCGACTTCTCCAACACGCCGCTGTGGGCAATCGAAAGGAATCTCACGGCCAGCGCAATCGTTCACGCAAAGGGCAGGCTTCCGGCGGCATTTGCGATCTTGTTGCTTTCCACCGTTGCAGCGAGTCTGAACCCATTCCAAGAAGTGGCTCACTCCTTGGTCTGTGGCGAGGATGTCCAAGTCGAGCTCCTCCGCATAGACCCAAGCTTTCCCAGTCAAGGCCTGGTACAAGGCCAGTGCTCAGGTGTTCTGGCCTCATCTTGGTGCACCTCAGCCAAACCTGAACACGGCGCACGCACGTGCGGACTTGCCCAAGTCCTGGCCCGAGGTTCCCTCACCATCAAATTCTGGAACCACCAACTTCTCTGAGGGCTTGGAGTCGCGAGGCCAAGCGGCGTCGGGCCACTCAGTCCGCCGCAGACTTGCCGTTGTTCATGGCAGTCACGCGCTCGATGTCCGCGACGTTGAAATTCCGCACCTGATGGTCAGTCCAAGGATCAGCCGCCCCCGCACTCCACAGGTCCCATTCCGTCGAATCCCAACCTGCATCATCCATGCTTGGAGATCACTCCCTCGAGCATCGCTCGCCGGATCTCCTTGCTCATCTTCTTCAACCAAAGGAGGGGTGGTGGCCGACGTGGTTGCCATGACCGTGAACCTTTCATCCAAGGATCGTACCGAAACAGCTCCGCGTGACCAATGTTGGAATCACGCTATCACGCTGTTCCAATGAAAACACGGCGACCGCCGGCGAACATACCTTTTCTCACTCAAAGAAACTCTTGTGCCTCAATGGGCCACGAAACATAGAAAACCAGTGTGACCATGTCGATCATGCGACAAAGCGAAAATGAAGCTGCGCATTCACACAGGGAGTCATGTTGAAATCATGCCAAAGTTCCAAATGGGCATTCTAACCTGGGAGTGGATACTGTTATAGTATGTACATCTAGTAGATAAAAGCCAACGTCCTGGTTGCTTTTGAGACATCCTGTCAGAAACTATTGGAGTCTGAGCGGAGCCAAATAATGTGTGTGTGTGTTGAGCCTGAGGCTGCCACGCTGCCAAGGTTGCAAATCGCTGTTGTCCAGCTGTCACCATCTTTTTAATCAATGTCTAATATGAAAATTGCTGAGTCCATGGCAGTGGTGCGCATTCTATCTGTTCGTTTCTATGTCACACGCCTGCTTTCTAAAGCATTTTTTGGGGGGGGTCCAATCTGTTCAATGCATACATTCTATCTCTGGTGGTTTGTTTTTTGCATTCTAACTCAGTATTGTTTTTAAGAGTTACAACGCGGTCAATGGTAAATTCTATCACTCCCCATCACTGCCTCTCTGCTGGGGAGAGAATCGTGTGAGCTACCTCCTTCCTTATGACGATGCCTCGTCTCACGCGACTAAGCAGAAGCTTTTCTAGGTTGGTGAGCATGTTTCGCGGGGTGAGCTCATTGACCTTTGCTACGATCCCGTGGCATAAAATTCTTACCCTGTTGAGGGCGCTCCTTTGTACAGACTGCTGCTCCAGTTTTGTTTGCCGTGCATACCCAAGGTCCGGAGGAGCGCTGCAGCACCTCTACGTCGGACCTCTTTGTGGCCTGCGCTTGTACACGACCTACAGAACTTCCATGATGACCTCTCCTTGGCCGTCGAGGCGACCTTAACTGTGTTTGTGCTGGGTGCTCTTCGGAGAAGTATGTTCTAGGGTGGGCTTGGATTTCAGCCTATCCTGGCAAAGGTGTGTGTGTTGTTGTTGCGGTGGTGGCGGTGGTGGTGGCTGTTCTTTGGCCAAAATGTTTGTCATTGCTTCATGGTGGGTAGATGTCACAGCCTTTGTTGACAGGGAGGGTGGGTATGTTGTTTGTTTTAGTTGTTGCTAAAATGGCTTGTACGGCTTAGCTAAAATGATAGGTAACCAACATCTGAGTAGTATATACAAGGTCGTACTTGTGACTCCTCGATATAGTACAAGTAGAAAAAGGTACCCAACCTTCAGAGCTATACTGTACTGGCAAAAAGAAATTGCTAGCGAGGGTTCAAGCCCTCCCGATCCTAGCCAGGCTAGTGAGCGGCGCTATGT